TCTCAACAGTCGGGGTGAGTCGCGTTCTCTCGCTTCTATGATACGGTGGCCATTTCCCTCCTTTCCCATCCTCCCCATGGAGCACTCACATATCTGCGATCTTCCATCGACATCAATGGGCTTGGCCTTGGACGGTAAGAGAGCCGATTCGGTCAGGAATCCCAGAGACATTTGTTCCCGTGGCTGAAGGAGGAAGGGAAAGAAAGGGTCTGGGGAGAGGAGGTTAATGGCTTCACGAGGGGAGACATCACCCCTTGCAAATTCAGACTTGTGTCTTATACCGGCAATGGTGTCCCGTAAACGTGCACAAGTACGATGAAGGTGGGGACAAGTGCGGGGAGGATCGAACGACCGAGGGCCGTCAAGTGGATGACAAGGAATTGAAAGAGTTGCTCCCAGGCATCCAGACATGCTTTTCTTGAGAAGCGAAGGCAAGCGCCGTGCCATAGTAAAAGACACGAGATCCAAAGCCCCACACCCGAACGCCAGGCACACGCGATGTCGGGCATGTCTTTCATCGACGAATACCAGGGTGGTACGGCTCATGAATGTTAATAAGGAAGCAAGTGGGATAAAGGGCGCTAGTCTAACCCTACTTCTCACACAACGTCACAGAGATTGTAGACAGCATCATCGAGATATATACAATTCCCACTACCCGTACCGGGCGCCACACGCATCGTCTTCGTTGCCTGCAAATGCCTACGAATGCGTGCGCTTTTCATGCCTAAATGTCGATGCGTTTACTTTTGTCGTGCGATCGCTCAAAAATACAAAAGCGACGGATCTGGGGTATAGAGGGTTAAAATATAAAAACACTAAAAGCCAACCACCGGCAATGCTTTGCACGTTGCAGCCAGAAATTTTCCGAAAGATATTGCGACGGATGGTGCCGAAATCTACTAGGAAAAGTGAATGTGGTATACTGTTGCTTCACATATTCCTGTGCCTTTGCTTCCTCCTTGAGTAGACGACGACAACGCTAGGGCATGCAGGATGAATTCCAGGACGTGTATAGGAAGCAAAATGGCAAGTTGGGCCACGCATGGCGTGGTAATAGCCAATTTTATGGCGATATGTGCTCCACCCCTCCCGAGAACACTGAAGAAAAATGCGGATTATCCCTGTATGGGGCGTGACCATAAGGGAAAATCTAGCGCTTGAGCCGCAGGGTGTGGAGCCTTGGGACATGAACTATGCATTTAAGATCTTTCTCATCTCCGGGCTCGTGGCTTGGCACGTGCGTCGAAAAACGCGGCGTAAGGGCAAGACAACCTTTATAATATGAATCTACAAATGATATTTATTTATCCAATATCTGCCCCATCACCAACGACACCCCATCCTCACAGCTTCATGACCACATACACCGCGTCCTTCGCCGCCGACGCCGCGACCCCAAGCGTGCACGTGGTCCCGCACGCCAACGTCCCCGACGGGGTGGATGCTCTGTGGTTGGTGGGCTTTGCTTTGCTTTCGGCCTTGACCACGGAAGGTATTATAGATATGTACACATATACGGGGAGGTTATTATTATCTGGGAGCATGGCTTTGAGGCAGCGTTGGGTAGATTGACGTGAATATTCCCCAGCACTTCGGGTGTCA